GTGCCGCTGTGCCGAAATCGTAAATTGGTCGAAAAAGTTTTAAAACACTTGTTTTAGCTTTTTGTGGTATTTTTGGATACGTGACATGTATTTTAATTTTTGTAAAAAAATCAAAAAACTTGGGGACCATCAGGAGATATAGTAAAAAGTACGGTATTTCGGACACCAATTTGGGATAAGAATCTCTCACTATTTTTTCTATTATGGTAAATTGAACCTCAAAAATCGATAACATTGTGTTTTGTGAAAAGTAGAAAAGAAATTTTAAAATTAATTACAAGTCACTAGTAGATTCAAAACCGATCATTGTATAATTACCTTACCTTATTCGTGTTACCTATTTTCTTATACTACCTAAATTGCTTATTGTTACACTACGTGTTTTAAATTGTAAATTTTAATCGCTTTCTCGTTTATTAATTGTCTAATCAGTATTTTTATTTGCTAACTGATTTGAAATAAATACCCTAATTACGTTTCATAATGGTTAAAATATAAATTGTATTGTCTGTTTAAATATTATTCTATTGATATGTAAATACAAAATGTGATGTTGGTATGCAATTAGTAATTGGTTGATGATATGAATCTATGTATGACAAGTTTACTGGGTACTCTGAAAAATGATGGACGGACTCAATACATAAGGAAACCTTACTGTAGACATTCACTCAGTCGAACATGGCTGAGAATTCCCATACTATAAGGGGTTGAGAGGTATAGTTCACACTCAGTTCGGACGGAGTATTGAGGCGATGACATGTTTGACGCTTATTACCGGACGGGGTATGAAAACGACCCATTGATTAATAAATTGAACATTGAATTCACATGTAAGGGGATATCTCTATAGACTCTTAGGGGTACTGGTAAGCAAGTAAGATGGTAAGTATATTATTATTGTTAATTTAAATGTAAAATCAAAATGTTATCCTGGTTATTGCTTTCGTAGGTCGGTTTTGGAACTCACAAAAGTAAGTATGAAACTTACATTTTTATATAAAATAAATTTATTTAAGAAAGACAAATGACTTCATTGGTTATTTTATGATTTTTTATTAATATTTATTTTTCGTATCGGTGTTAAGTGTGATATTCTTACTGTGTTAGTGTAGTTCATTCTCCTATTTAATCATTTCAGATTAAGAAGATCAAGATTTAGATACTGAATAACAGGAGGGTTGCAAATAAATGTTACATCTCGGACCCCATCAGAGTTGCCTAGTGGAAGTTAACATCATAGGATTTTTATTTTGTTTTATTTTAACTATTCGTTCTGTTACTATGAACTTCTATAAAGAGACATTCTCGTAACTCTATTGCATCCTGATTTACTATGTAAGGAATATAAACACTGAAATCTAAATTGTTTCCGCTTATATTTAATATAATCCAATATTTCCATTTCTTTAAGCTTTGGGTTTTTATACCTCTACTATAAATCATTCTAAAAAAATGATTCAAAAGTCATACTGCCTTCGTTTTTTTAAGTAATTGGTCTCTCTACTAATAGAAGTTGTACATTCTTTTTAGATACAGAGCTAGTGAAGACAAAAAAGGGTTTGGCTAGCTTTAACATTACGCCAGAAGATCTTACCCAACTGAACATAGACAAGGGTGTTGTTAGCTTTTCCTATAAGCCTGAATATTATTTGCAAGTTGATATACCTAGTATCTGGCTGACAATGGAGGCATTATACAATTCTGGCAAGATTCGAGCTATTAGTGTCAGTAATTTCTCTTTAAAGAAGCTTGGTGTTGTCTTGGAAATAGCAAGGGTGCCTCCTGCTGTCAACCAAGTGGAATGCCACCCAATGTGGCAACAAGGAAAGTTACAGGCTTTCTGTCATGCCAATGGAATTCATCTCCCTATAAGTTTCCAATTAGACCATTTTTTGTTCTTCTTTGTGTTATTATTCGTAAAAGTTCACCAAAAAAAGATGCTACAGTAGACATTTTGACTCATTTTAGGTTTGATATGTTAGAAGAGGCAAATAAATTATCAATCCTTAACAATGGTGATAGTTTTATTGTGGTTTCTTTATTTTAGGGTTATTCACAATTGGGTTCTCTAGGTGTAGGATCCATCAAAATCGAGGTTATTAAGTATCCTATTATCAAACTGGTTTTTGAGAAATTGGGCAAGTCCCCTGCATAAGTAGCTCTTCATTGGGTTCTACAAATGGGTCATAGTGTACTGTCTAAGAGCAAAAAGGACACAAGAATAAAAAAAAATCTTGATGTGTTTGATTGGTGTACCGGATGACTTATTTGCCAAGTTTTTAGAAATTGAGCATGTATGTATTGTTTTTCCTTTTTTTCCCTTTTGTTCACTCTAATCTTTTAGCCTGTTGGTTTATTTACATTTACAAGTCATCTATGATGTGTTAATGGCCGTTATATAAACTGAATTGGTTACAAAATAAAATGTAAATATGAATCAACTTCAGTGTCAATTAGATTATTGAACAAGTGGCTTTTTACATCGCAAGAGAGGCTAATCAGAGGTACCATATTCATCCATGAGTCTTCCAGTGCATACAAGACTCTTGAGGAGCTTTGGGATGATGAACTCTAATATCTACACATATATCTACATACAAATTTATGTCACATTCTACAACATTCATCAATAGAATTGTTTCTGCTGGTGAAATTTAGAGTGAACATATGAAACTTTAATAAATATGATTCTTAAAAGTGAGCTACTATATGTATTACGGTCATTTTTGGGTATTCTTTTTGTGATTGTAAGGTATAAATAGCTAATTACTTTCAAATTTAAGAATTTTACCATGATAAGAATTGGAGGTTCAATTTTTACAGCCCTTACGGGCCATGAAAACAAAAAACAATGATAAAAAATTTTAGGCTTATATTGCTAATGCTTGGTAAAAATATTATTTTTTTTAAAACCAATATATTAATACAAAAACATACCCCGTTGTATATGTGCCTTTTAAAATATAAAATGTTTAAATAATATTTTTAAAATTCATGTATTAAGGTAAAAACTATATATTATAATTTATTGTTACGTATTTTTTAAAACTTATGATTTTTTTAAAATATTTTAAAAATATTCTCTTTACTACTTCTAAATTCATGTAAATTACTGTTGATACGGTCTTTTCTAATGCATTTATTTTTATTTAAAGCTACTGATACCCATAAGATTTTTATTTAAATGCATTTGTTTCTCTTCCATTTGTACTTTATCTTTGGCATTATTGAAGTTATTATGATCAAAATACTATTTTGTATTTTATAATTTAATTCTTTTTCAATTTCAACATAAATTAATTTCTTATATTATTAATTATAGGGTAGTTAAGTAATTAAAATCTTTGTACTCTACTTAAATGTTACGAATTTAAATTTTATTAAAATATATGATTTGTCATTTTATGAATGTACTATGTGTTATAAATAATTAGTTTATAATATTTAATTTAATGATATTAAGAATTTAGTTAACTAATGTGTTAGTTGGAGAAAAATTCAATCAAATTTTTGTTGAACTTTTTTATATTTATAAAAAATTTTAAATAATATAAAAAGTTATAAATTTTTAAAAAAATTATAATTTAAAAAATAATATTAAATATTTTTAATATATAAATTGACTATAATATTTAATTTATTAAGATTAAAACTTAATTTCAATCAAAATCCAATCTAGCAATTTTTTAAAAATTATTTTATATTAATTCTCATTTTACTTTTTATGCTTATAAAA